CAGACTATTTGATAACGTAGGAAGTCAGACTATAAGCAGCAATCGGTGTGGTTCGTGTGTTTTTATGCCGTGAAGACATAGATTCATCAGTATTGTGATTATTTGATAACTAGTTGAAAGGTGGCACATCGATAAACACTCGGAGCGGGGGTGGGTGGGTGGGGTGAGGGGAGGGGACCGATAGTCCGTTTGATAAACCACAAGACAGTTATGCACTGTATTAGCGCAAGGCACGTACCAACCTTTCATCGATTACGCTTGCGGCGGCACAAACGTGTTCCATGCGGAAATGGAAACTAGTTGGAACAGGGCTGAAACGGTCGTGTATTAACTTGGCATTTATGTACGTGCAATCGGACCTGAGCTTTTCGATGAGTAATTTGCTTCCAATTCCGTTCCAATGGAGAATCTCGAAGCCAAATCAGCTCATGTGTAGTGATATTTGCGATAAGAATGTATCGAAATCATTTGCTTTCTGGGATTTTATCACTAATTACTTAGTTGTGTAATTCATTCGGGTAGATGCTCTCACATAAATACTAATCTAGATTATTTTCATCCTTCTATTATTACGTTCTGCGTCAGCGAAAAATAAATGAGTAGCTGAAACGCAGCAATCAAACTTGGGGGAAAAATACGTGCTGGGTTAATTAACATACTAAATATTCTTCTTCCATAATTACTTATCATAAAAGTGAAATAAAAACCGTATTCTGTGTCTAATTGAGGTTTGGGGAAAAATTATAAAAATACATGTTCAGAAGTGATTCATTCTAAAGAACGAAATAAGCCCAAAGCCCATTACCCGTAAACGTGCATGAGCAATATGAGTGGATTATTAGTTCTTTGACGCAATCAGCTTTTGTCTGATCTTCTAAACGTTCGTAATGGGACTGATGTTAGTGTGCTAAAAATAACCACAACACGCTTGATAACTCTATTCGTCTAACTTTGTTTCCAGTGAGGAGTAATTTTTTCTATTTCTGTTTCCCCTTACTAGACATAATCGTTCACGAAAGATGTGCCACACAACAAACGGAGACCAGCCAACTTGATGCTCAGTTTGCGGATACAGTAGTCGAGACCAAACTGTTCATGTGTGCCATTGTTTCAAGTCGAGCAATTTCTTAAAAGCGCAAACGAATATAAGTGAACAAGACAGTCCCTCTGTTTCGACTCTGATCCGATTTGAGAATCAGGTTACTATAGCCGTTGAAAGAATTAACATCCTCGTTGCCTAGCGATCCCGACGGTCCCGCTTGTAGTGCACCTTTGATTAACGAACTCATATTTTATTTACCACCAGATGTGAAAATAAGCAATTATCAAAATTTTCTCTGTTTGCCTGTATTTTCTCTTTACTTACACGAAAGTGTTATTCACTTCATTGTTGTCTTTCAAGTCTAACGTTGGAGACCGAAATCCGAGGAACGAACGGGACAGAGCGCACATAAAACGCACATAGCCTACATTCTGCTCGACTCTAAACATACTACTTTTCACGCTACCACGACGAGAACATATTCCTTATCTGAAATGTATAGTGAAATGTGATCAGAGTTTTGTGGACCCCATTTAACAAACAGAAAAATGTGCACCCTGTTTGGGAAGCACAAGATTGATGGAAAGCAAATCAGTTCAGTGAACATTACCCCTGTTGACGAAAGTGTCCAGATTGACGGAGTTAAAACAGTCAAAATCTACAACTACCCGTTCTCACGTCGGTGTTATTCAGACTATATGAAAATGCAGGGCACATGGACAGACACATCGAAACGTGATCCTAGTTAACTCAGTGAGGATGTGTTCGTCAATAATTCCTCATGAATTCCGTTCAGTTTTTATCATACAAATTTATAATCTGATGTGATTCTCATATTATCCACCACGCCTACTTCACCTGACTTGATTCACATCAAAAAATATACAAGTATTGATCATCCTCGTGCAAGATGATTCTCAAAATAGAAATATTTCTCAGCTTCCCCACATCGATAGCCATGGGTATAAAACGGATATCTCGAACTTCATTTCTCTAGCAGCGCCATCTGACCTTAGTTGCCATGACCAAATTTGCATTAGTTCAAAAGTGACTGGTCGAAATGAGTAACAGTGGCATGAAGATTTATTCTTTCTAATAAGCGAATACTGATGCATGAGGGTGTTTATTCTGTGACAATCAATTATTCTAAATAGAATACAATTTTCCATGTGATACAAAGTCAATATACAAGTAAGTTATGATGTGTTATTAGCATTCATTCGAAATAAATGTGGTTACAAACTCCGCACACGCAAAATCTCTTATCATTAAGAGACTAAAAATATATTTCATAAATAGTTGATGAACTCCACTCCCAAAATGGCTGGCTGAAGTGCTCAGTTTATTGAAAAAATGAAACCACTTTGTGTGCCGTTCATATTGATCCTTTTCATGCATACATTTAAGTACTGTTTTTCTCTAAAATATTTGCATCAGCAAAAAAGTTGAACAAAAGAAGGCAACTGTAAAAGTGAATAATTTCACAGAAATTCTGTGTGACATGGGGTAATACTGCACACATTCTCGTGAATGAGGACGAAAACGTTTGGGAATGAGATGCATAGATTTGGGAAAAGTTGCACGAGTAAGGTCAATATCTGCATACACACATATATATATATATATATCGGCTTGCAAACCAACATAACAACTGGTCCTTGACATTTTTGAAAATAGCAGCCTGCATTCATGTTGTACACGTTATAATACTCTGATTTGTTTTATATATGTACAGCTATCACAAAGCACGAACAATCGACGTTGACATTAAGTGCCGCGCACAGAATTTCTCTTATTTTTTTCAAATACATTGATTGAAAGGAAGAAACGACCATTTTTTTCATTTTTTGTTTAGCATCCTCAGTATACGTATTGCGCGTATTCAGTTTGTATAAATGATTCACTGAATAGTATTTATCTAAAAACTTTAAAATATTTGCCAAAGTCCCCTAATCAACAGGAAGCTGTTCACTTTTGGCATTTATATAAATGTTTGTGTGAAAACTAATCTCTTTTGATGGGAACAGGTCAGTCAACCCACATTGAATTTGTGATACGTTCCTGGCAAGTAAATCTGCCCCGAGGCAAAGTATGACCTGATTAAAACCGGTCAGGTTTTTTGTCCAATGCTCTACCCTGTTCACTAGCCTCACTCACGTTTCTCAACTTCCCAATCTAAGTCAGAGTACCATTAGGATTCCAGTGTGTGGGGCGTAAAAAAAAGCCTAACCCAGTAATCAATTTCGAAGGAATCGCAAATACACTGAACAAGCAATCATCAATTTTTGTATGACTGAAGAACCAGAAAATGATACTGTCAATTCAAATGTGCTACGAAGCAAGCAACATGAACTACTGAATTCGATAGCATTGTCAATGGGGAAAGGTAAGTGATCAATCACACTACACAAGTGGAATATACAGGGGTTGGGAAACTGGTTCGCAGTATTAACTTTTCAGAGTCAACACCGATTGGGCAATCAGATTGGCACTGCTAGACCACCACCACTGTCAACACAGAAATATAAAAGTACACTAGCTTGCCCTGATCCTATTAACTTATTCATTGCCTCCATTAATTTATCTCTTATCAAGACCACAACGCAGTATCACTTGTCCCTGACTCGATGCCGTTCAGGGGAGCCTACATGAGCTGTGATACTTTAAGATTAGCCTGTATAACCAATAGGCGCGGTTGCACTTACATGAGCCCATATTGCTTTTTGCTATTTGTTAGCTCAAGCAAGGAAGAAGTAAAACACGCAACATCAATGAACGAGAGCGTATGGGAAAAAGAAGTGCGCTAAAAATGTTTAAATAGATTAAGCAACCCATATTGAGCTGAGCTTCCGATTTGCTACATTGGCGCGTAAAACTGGGATTGTATTGAATTGCAACGAACGCTTAGAGCGATTTCTGGACAACATTTTGGGGGTGCTACAGGTTGCCAAATAAAAGCACTTCTGCAGAGAAGAAACGGGTTTACATATCTGTACCTTTCAAGGGTGACACAACTGCCGATATGGTGACACGTAAACTGAGTAGAGTTGTGGAAAAAGCATTCCCTGCAGCAAAACGGCGTATTGTGTTCATCTCCAGGCCACTTCTGTACTGTTCTGTGGGGCATTGTACATTGGCCGCACGAGCAGACGTTTAGCTGAACGCGTCCGTGAGCACCACCCGGCCAGGTTGAATAGTGCCTTGATTAGGACCATCAACAGCTCAATCGTTTTGCACATAGTGAAANAACCACGTAGTTAATATGGCCGAGTCATTTCGACCCCTGTACTTGGTTTGCACCCGCCGATCTAAGAGGATTCGGAGTCGCATTTTGGCCAAAGCGGAAGCGATCGGAATCCACCTACATAATCCCTCCCTGTGCTCCCCAAAACAATTCGTAGGGATATTCGGTCTTCCATGGCCAGCACCACACACGACGCAACTATCCTCCCCACCCACCCCTAATGATCCGAACCAGTGCGCATGTGTGAGGACCAAGGCATAAGCAACATCCGGGTCATGAAATTGGAATGCTAATTATCTCTTTTCCAACTTGTCAGGAATTCTCTTCTTTTCCAAACAGTTTGATTTAAATTGTGATGTATTGGCCTGTAAAAGAGTCACTGCAAACGAACTTTTTCGCTACTTAGTGCTTTCTTACAATGAGCAATGATGGTATATTCGGACTATTATGTATAAAGTTTTGCAAGCGATGGAGCTCACATCTCAAATCGACCATCGTACCCGTACTTAGATTAATCGTTAGATTATCATACTCATAAATGAAGTCACAGTTGAATAAGTAACTGAATCTAACTAGCCTCCAAATAATGCCTTAGATGACATTCAGTTCATTACAAACACCTTCCTCAACTACACAATGTCGTAGAGCAGTACTGCAGTATGAAAACAGCACTTTCAACCACTTACCTGTTCACATGTAATTCACACTATCTGACTAGGACAGTGGGACGACTATGCAAGGCACTTCAGCGTGATGTAGCACGTAGTCACTGACGCTACCGATCAATGCACGTTTGACTGCGCCCAAACCGCGACAACCCATCACAATCATACTCGCCCCGTATTGTTCCACCGCGCGCACAATACCATCACCCGGACGGGAAGCGTTCATCACAGCAAAATCGTGCGGGATTCGTTTGGATTCGCACAAGAAGCCGTAGTCATTACGTAACTTGTTGGTCTGATCGATGCTGACAACGGGGGAGGGGATTAATTACAAATAATGATTAACAATCAAAAAGAGATCACATTTCGAACGTTCATAATAAGATAACGCACCATCACCGACAAAAAACCTATAAAAAACTGGGTAATATTATTGCAATGTTAACTAACTAACTAACTAACGAGTTCAAAAACCTAAGAGAAAGTCTTATCAGAGTTACGGGATTGCAACAGGTGCACACTGATATCCGAAAACAGTCATGCTTTTTTGTTCGCATTGCTAACCGCCTCCCTATTAAATTGCCTTCAATCATCATTCCTGTCCTTCTGATTCTCTACAACTGTTTTTTTCTCTCACTCACTCCCCTTCATTTCTACCCAAACTTCTTTCTTTTTTCAGTTAACACTGTTGTCGAGAAAGAGTATGTGAAACCGCATGATTTATGAACCCTGCCGTTTCAAAATACAGCAATAGCAGTGATAGGGTTTGTTGCATGTGTCTCGTTCTTTTAAAACACTAAGATCCCAAATACAAAAATCACACCAGTGTTCATGGATTTCAATCATGTAACTGAACGTGTGTGCTCTGGGGATAAAACGAGCCATCACTGAGAGAATAAGCGTTTGTTTTCAGTGCCATGGTAATACCTGGATCAGCTGATTTTCCATAGCCTGAATGCGATTGCTCCATAGTATTTGAGGCATATTGTGTGTGTGATTGGTTGAGACCAGGAAACAGATAACTTCATTCTAGATGTTTTGGTAGAAACTATGCATCCAAACTTCGTGTGTTGTTCACGTCCAAGTCAATCGTGTGTTTGCGACTAAGGGGCAAAATTCCAGACTGTGTGGTCTCATTCTATGCATACTCATTTACCTGATTCTGAGGAACAATGTACATCGGTCAGGCGATCGTCCGAACGGATTTATGAACACCACCCTGCGTGGCTGAACACCAAAACGATTAAGTTAAATGCAGTGATTTCACACCTAGTTGAAACAACTCACACTGTGGACGTGTCCGAGGCTTTCCGACCCCGGTACATAGTTCGTGGGCTATTATAGAGACAGGTTTGCTGTCGTATGCTGGCTACAGCCATAGCGGTGGGCATTTGTCAGCACAAACCCCCTAGGAGTGCCCATAAACAAGTTAGCAAGCGGTAAAACTTACCAGGCCCACTCCCAACACACACTGCATCACGCGGAATCTCGATGATTGGATAAGTGGACAAAGACATATGTGATCATGGTGAACCCGATTGCCGGCCTCACGAAGAAATCGTTTCTAGTAATCTGTGATTTTATCTTATTTTATTTTCGCAAGCCAATGTAATTTCTAAATAGTGACCTATGTTGAGATGTGTTGGCATGAATAAGAATCTTTTAAAACGAGCTTGTTCGCCACTCTGTTGTTTTGTTTGAAACTATAGTCCCTTTTTTGGACAGGTTAGAGCTTGGCGTTAATAAAACTGACATGGTTTTACACGATGTTTCTATGGGAGGGCTACATTTCCCATATATAAACGTTTGTTGCAACAACACAGTAAAGCACAATCGAATTTAAGATCAAAGATGTCCTATGGATTCGCTCAAAGCGCCACAGTTTAATAACAGGGGCTCATCTATGGTAAGAGGTTTACCTTTATCCCATTGGACAATGGTGCTGGAAATCGATGTATGTTTGAAATTATTTTACAATGCAATCAGCGCAATATGTATACTCACTTGTAGACAAACATCGTGCTAAAGTTACAATAATAATAGTAATAACCGGGTGATAACATGGGTGAATTGGGATACAAAACAGAGTGAAAAGAAGGAAAAACTGTTACTGTTAAATGCACGGGACTTCAAAAGGCAGATCGTACAGCGCCATTGACTTCTATTCCAAGCCATATCTCTCAGCTTCCCTAACCAACGACAAACCTCATCCCTTGGACCCCAACCTGGAAGGTGGGCTGCACCAATTGGAGCGAAACCTGAAGCCAGCTTCTTCATGCCTCTACGCCATGTCACCGTCTGACCGCCGCGGTGCTTCTTCCAGCCTTGCCCGGTACGTGTGAAGAGTACGGAAAGGTAGTCGATGGGCAGGCATACACAAACGTGCCCAGGCCATCGGAGCAATTACTTCTGTTAGAGAACGGCTATCCGCACCCAACACACGAAGACCAACCTCGTCATTACTCACTCGGTGTTCCCACCAGACACGAGTAGTGCTTCGGAGACATCGGGGGTTGAATACAGAAAGTCGATTAGCACCCTCAGCGCGGAGGGGCCAGGTCTCGCAACCGTAAAGTAGAACGTTATGAACCACGGCGATGTACATNTGGCGCCACAGGTGTCGCAGTTTAGCGAAAGCTGCTCTAGATTTCACTATTCGTGATTTGATCTCTCCAACAACACCACCAGCTGCGATCAAGCTCCCGAGGTATTTAAAGCTCTCAACTACTTCCAGCTGATCACTCCGGAGGGTAAGTGCAGGCGCAGGCTCCGGGCAGTCGTTTACAAGCACTTACTTTTGGAAAAGCACATACCAAATCTGAATACTTCGATCGCCACGCGATTCAAAGCGTTTTGTACTGCCTGTGTATTGTCACCTAGCAAGGCGATGTCATCAGTATATTTTAAGTCAAAGGCTCTGTTCCCTTGGAGAAGTTCGACTTCACCGTTTTCTAGACCGGACAGAGAGTAATAGCTTACGGATAAGTGCAATTTGCTAAATTAATGCAATGCATTTTTTAAAGCATTTTTAGACGAAATCAGTTCTGTGTTAACAAAAGGGGGGGGGGAAGAAAGGATCCATTTTCAGTTACTAAAATCAGGACGATCACAAGTCGGATTCCTTTTTACGTCTGAATAGTAGTTGATGCTCGGCGGTCAAACCACTCGAGCAGATCAGTCATTTCAGTTAAGTTTTTACAACCTTTAATCATGCACTTTCGGGCGCCAATTTCGGTTACCGTATTTTGGTGTCCAATTTGGATAAAAGAACGAAATGAAGATTGGAATGCTGAAAGCGAAAGATGGAGAGTTCATATAGAGTAGTGTTAGGAGAATAATGAGGGGACTCATGACACAGACATATCACTCAGTGTATGTAACCATCGGTGAACATCACCTCGGGGTCCCCAGCTAGGGAGCCTAACAAGGCCTAGTTTAATGGTTAGGGTTTTCATACTCTCATGACAGGTCTTTGTCTGACCACCCTCGACATTTGTCCAGCCATTGTCTGCCTCGTAAAACATCGCTCGCCGTGGCAACCTATTTGGTGGTATGCGCAAAACATGCCCCAACCAGCGTAATCTATGGAGGGTGCTCACTTGCTCCAGTGGACGAACGCGACTGCCTGAAACTCCGTTGCTCGTCCGGTTTCCCCACCAGACTCGTGCAGTGCGACGTAATCAACAGTGTTCAAACACCGACAATATATTTTTATCCTGTGCCCGTAGTGGCTAAGTCTCCGCACTGTAGAGCAGGCATAGCCGAACTGCCGCAGCATACACTCGACCCTTCACAGATAACCGGATGTCGTCACGGCGCCGCAGATGTCATAGGTTGGCAAATGCTAACTGAGCTGACACTTCATCTGTGATGCATCCTACAGGTGAGATGCAGCTTCCCAAATAAAAAACTTATCTAATTGCTCTTTTACTTCCCCAGTTGGAGTGAGGCTGGGTGCTGGAGCAGCCCAGTCTTGAAGTAACATTTTTTTGCAATTTGAAGGTGCAAAACGCATACCAAACATGGCTACACTGGCATTCAAGCTGTCCAGAAAAGCTTGCAACTTACCTGGGTTCTCACTTAGCAGCACAATGCCGTCTGCATACTCTAGATCAAACAGCCTGCCACCTGGGAGTAAATGGACACCTCTATCCTCGCACGAGGATAGGGTGCACGAACAATGCAACAAACTGAATCGGATCTCATATATTCATTCAGAAGATGTGACTCTGTGATCCAATTACGCTACAGAATAGAGGTCTTGTGTTTATCCGACAGCAAATGAAAGGGACATTCACGAAGGAGACGAGATAACACTTTTGTGCTCGCACAACAAAAGGGTGAGTGCAAAGACGAAAATAAACCGACAAAAAAATCCAGGCGAATGAAAAGATAGAAACGGTGTATTGTAGTTCAATGGCAAAAGAGTTAAAAATATCATGTCAACTTTTTTTAAAGAGTCTCAGTATCAGGCAAAAACAAATAATAATACCTTAAAAGGAAGATAAAGTCCAGTAGGTAAAACAAGCCAATCCAATTTATGCTTCTCAAACTCCTGAACAGTAATGTTTCTCTAAATGATTTAACACAGCGAAAGTTTCTATTTATAAATGCAGTAAATTAGTGTAAGTTACTGCTTCGATCTTCAATCAAAACACCGCATTGTATGGTTGATGTAAAGTCAATAATGTTCGCTCGTGTATTTCACGTGACTCTACTGAGCACAATTTAACAATCAAGCCGGATATGTGATCTGAGTATATCAATATTCATGAATTGCACGTGGATGACCACCAAAATCAATTCATGTTCGCAAATTTACACAGAGGGGTACTAGTTTTCCTTATTTATTCACCCTAAACGGATGTGACTTGTATTGCAGTTTCAAAGGAAAAAACGTTTTGCAATTCACGTTTGTTCTCTAACGATGAGCAAACAAAAATCTTTGCCACAAAAGTCAACTGTGTTCAATAGTACTGCTGAGAAGAATTGTCGGGCTTTCGTCAGGCTCATGAATCCGGCTAAACTAAAGCAGCTGTTATAAGAAAATCAGTTGAGCTATCAAGTGCTTAAATTGAACTGTAAAACACAGAGATGAGTTTTGATTTACGAGAATCCATATTATGAGAAAATAAGTAAAATCACTATCGTTTGATTCGATATTGTGGGTTCCGAGAGCTGGACGCGTGTTTTGCGAATGTCATGTGGCCAGGTTGGGAAACAACCTTAGTGCGACTTTGGCTAAAATCATTCCACATGATATCAAATTGTCATTTTAACTTGCCTGGGAAATATAACTCCCCCC